TTTTAGAGAACATAATAACACTTCTGCACTTATATAAAACAATACTAATTAACGAATGTCTGATTTAAAAAAAATTAGTTTCCCGATTCGTTCAGAGGGCGACAAAATTCGACATTCTGTGATCTGTGGTGAGCTGTCTATCGATCAGACGCATGGCGTAATTGTTCGGTAATCTGTGGATGTAATGACGTGGAGTTTAAGATGTGGAGGTTTTAAGTTTTATTCTTCATAGTTTTTTAAATAATTCGTTCTGTTGATTGATGAAATTCACCAGTCTTGTTTAAAGGTAAATACACTTCATTCCCATATTTTCACCGCTAATTTGAACTTCTACCATGCAGTATTTCTGTTTTAAAGTGCAATACATATTTGTGTTATTGACTAATTATCACTTGCTTACAATGTGTTTCGGGGCTTACTTTTAAAGCCCTGATAGTGTTTCATATGTTATGAACATTTGTCCAATACCAACCCTTAAAATCCACATTTATTTACGAAAATTTCGTTGTTCTTCCACTTTGTACAGATGGCTACGTATGAAGAATATATCCATCAAAACGAAGAACGTGATGGCATTCGTTTAACGTGGAATGTTTGGCCCTCCAGTAGAATTGAGGCCACCCGTCTTGTGGTACCTCTAGCTTGCCTCTATCAGCCCATCAAAGAACGTCCAGACTTACCCCCAATTCAATACGATCCAGTGCTGTGCACTAGAAGTAATTGCAGAGCCATTCTAAATCCATTGTGCCAGGTGGATTACAGAGCGAAATTATGGGTCTGTAACTTCTGCTTTCAGAGAAACCCCGTAAGTAGCATCCTTGGAACGAATTAAATACGCCCTGTAAGGACAACCGTATACAAAGTGGTTCGAGCCAAGATGCGGTGGAAGATTATAGTAACTGGTGTGTAGTTGTATATTGGCATCCATAGTGCCCATCCGTTAAAACAATTTTCGCCACACAGGGTTTTCAAAAATCCTTGGCATATGAAGCTTATGTTTTTTTAACGGAACCATCAATGTGTCGCAATTGGTTCTCTTTCAAATAAGGATAATTTTGTTGTAATATTTATTGGGTCTGCTGCGGCGCTACGGAGGATGGAGTGTGGCTCCACAAATTCTCCAACCACCGTCAAGGACATAGAAGCCGCTATGAACCGGGACAAGGCGTTCCATTTAAAAAAAGTTTGCTTTGGCACAAATTTTTGGGAACACCCTGTGTAACAAAACTAATTTTATTAGATGGTCAATATTGCATAAAAAATAATTTCAAAATTACACACCATTTAGTTATTTTCTTCCACCCTGTCTTGGTTACACCACCTTGTATATTTTAATCTCATTAAAGCTTATATTTGGATGAAATTCTATGTTTAGTTTCCACCTCAATATGCTGCAATCTCTGAGCAACATCAGCCTGCTGAGCTGATGCCAATGTTCTCCACCATAGAGTACACGATTTCAAGGGCTGCAACTATGCCCCCAATTTACCTCTATGTGGTGGATACTTGCATGGATGAGGAAGAGTTGAATGCATTGAAAGACTCTTTGCAAATGTCCCTCAGTTTGTTGCCTCCTAATGCTTTGATCGGTTTAATTACTTTCGGAAAAATGGTGCAAGTCCATGAATTAGGTTTGCATAACAATCAATTAGAGTTAAAGTTCGTAAAAACTACGAGCTGTATTCATTCTAGGAACTGAAGGAATGAGCAAATCGTACGTTTTCCGCGGTACAAAAGATTTGAATGCAAAACAGATCCAAGACATGCTAGGCATTGGAAAAATTGCCCCGAATCCCCAAGGGATGCCAAACCCTAATCTAAGACCTGGTCAACCAGGGGCACCAGTTCAGGCACCAGTGCCTCCAGCCAGCAGGTTTATTCAGCCAGTATGTAACCAAATGTTGCAAAAGCATTATTTTTAAATTTGCCGACTCCATAGGTTGCAAATTGCGAGATGAATCTAACCGATCTTATAGGAGAACTGCAAAGAGATCCGTGGCCGGTTCCACAAGGAAAAAGGTTTTTAAGATCAACTGGAGTGGCTTTATCAATAGCCATAGGCCTTCTAGAATGCACATATGCCAATACAGGCGGTAGAGTTATGCTCTTTGTGGGCGGACCGTGTTCTCAAGGTCCCGGTCAAGTCTTGAATGATGACCTTAAGCAGCCCATCAGGTGAAAAATTGGATTTATGAATTTACTATGGGCTTAATGAAAAACGTCGAATTTAAAGGTCTCATCACGACATCCATAAAGATAATGCCAAGTACATGAAAAAAGCAATTAAACACTATGATAACTTAGCGACAAGAGTAGCTACTAATGGGCATTGTGTTGATATTTACTCATGTGCTTTAGACCAGACTGGACTAATGGAAATGAAACAATGTTGCAATTCCACAGGGTGAGTTGCGTTATAAATCATATGCAATCTTGACTTTGATTGCTTTCTATGTTTCTCCAGAGGTCATATGGTAATGGGAGACTCTTTCAATTCATCATTGTTTAAACAAACTTTCCAGAGAGTTTTTGCTAAAGATCAAAATGGGCAATTGAAAATGGCCTTTAATGGTACTTTGGAAGTAAAATGCTCTAAAGAACTGAAAGGTGACTTAATAAGATTTTGTACGAATCTTTGTTTTTAATGATGAGTGTTTAGTTCAAGGAGGCATAGGGTCTTGTGTTTCCTTAAATGTGAAGAGTCCTTTGGTAGCCGATACTGAAATCGGCATGGGAAATACAGTGCAATGGAAACTGTGTACTTTCAATCCTAGCACAACAGTCGCTTTATTCTTTGAGGTGGTCAATCAACATACTGCACCCATTCCGCAAGGTGGAAGAGGTTGCATCCAGTTTATCACACAATATCAGGTACGTGCACATGGTGATTACAAGTAATTCGGTTCTGTGATTAATGATTGATATTTTAAAAGGTGCAGCATCGACAGGAAAAGTTTCGCTATGTTTTCATGCATGCAGTAGCGTAAAAAAGACTCCTTGCGGCCTAAGTACAATGGCAATACAAAGAAATGTTTTGCACCATATTGCCCATTGAATTAGAGCTAAGATGGTTTAATTATGCGCTCTTGATTACTTTTTGATCAATTCGTTCTTTATTGTGAAATAAAAGCTATCAAACTGTAGTAGAAGAACGTGAAGAAATTCTTGACAAATATTTGAGACAAATTCCCAACAAAAAGATTTTGAAATAATCTTGAATGTTACCAATTTAATGTTTAAAGCATATTCAACAAACGATGAGCACTTATCAATTAAACATAATTTATCTTGTACCTTTTGAATAAACTACTGCAAGATTTGCATTCATTATTTCAAATTTCTTAAACTGTTCGTTTTCAATCTTTATCTTTTTGCAGTTAACATTAAATTATCTTATAGCGTGTCGGACTGATTTGTTCATTTTGAAATTCCTACTAACCCCTCCGAAAGGATTACTTTATGGGAAGGTTTATTGCAAACGGACTCATTAATCTTATGGAAAAAATCACGTAATTTCAATTGGCGTTTATAAACGGAAATTCACTATAACCGTTTAATCTCCATCTCCACTGTATTTCCGTTTGAACACTAGTGAATATCTTTCAGCATGCTAGTGGTCAGCGACGTATTCGAGTAACAACAATAGCAAGAAATTGGGCAGATGCAGCTGTTAATATTAATCACATCAGTGCCGGATTTGACCAAGAATGCGCAGCTGTTATTATGGGAAGAATGGCAGTTTTTAGGGCTGAAACCGACGAAAGTCCTGATGTGCTCAGATGGGTGGATAGAATGTTGATACGTTTGGTAAGTGGTTAGACGCTGCATTTGGTACCATTAAAAATTTGCTGTTTAGTGTCAGAAATATGGAGAATACAACAAAGACGATCCAGCGTCATTCAGATTAGCTGAGAACTTCAGTCTTTATCCACAATTTATGTATCATTTGCGACGGTCGCAGTTCTTGCAGGTGTTCAATAATTCACCAGATGAAACTTCATTTTACAGGTAAAAAGTTCCATAAAGTACAACGTATCGATTTTAATTTGCATGGGTTTGTTTGTTATTCTTTTTAGGCACATGCTGATGAGGGAGGATTTGACCCAATCTCTCATTATGATTCAGCCTCTTTTGTATAGCTACAGCTTCAATGGGCCTCCAGAACCAGTTCTTTTGGACACCAGCTCAATTCAGCCCGACAAAATTTTGCTCATGGATACCTTCTTCCAAATTTTGATTTTCCATGGAGAGGTGCTGAGTTTGAAAAAGCTTTATTTTTGATAGATTACTTATTTTTCTTAAATTTTGCAGACTATAGCACAGTGGCGCAACTTGAAATACCAAGATATGGCCGAATACGAGTACTTCCGTCATTTGCTTCAAGCTCCGATAGACGATGCTCAGGATATTTTGCACACTCGATTCCCCATGCCACGGTACATTGATACCGAACAAGGTGGATCGCAAGCACGTTTCCTACTATCTAAAGTCAATCCCAGCCAAACCCACAACAACATGTATGCGTATGGAGGCGTAAGTTTTTTCCGTAATAATAATAATGGTCATTGTCTTGTTTTCATTCATTCAAAGTTTCTCATTGAGTGTTCAAATGTGTGCGTTTTTTATTCTAAATGTTTATTTTTGTTTCATGTGTTTTTGTGTTCCTGCACTATAGGCGATCATGACCGGTCAAAATGGGGTAAATGTTCACATACTTTATGGTTTCGGTATTTCTTTGGGACTTAGCTTTGTATATATTTGATGAAACTAAACACTGGTTCGGTATACACAATGTATCTACAAACACACTTGTTACATAACTTAACTACCTAAGTTGAAATGTAGAATACGTTTTAGATAGTTTTGAGTGGGTACTTCACTAACTTTTTTAGATGGGGGAAGTAAGGTAGGTAATGCATTCCATGGGGTTTCCTTGCAGCAAAGTTCGCGCAAAGCGTAGATTCGCTTCAGTGACTCGAAGTCGAAAAAATATTATATTGTAACTTTTATAACATAACATTTATTGGCCAGTAGTATACAATGCAGTCAACAAWTTTTTTTTATAACTTAATAAAAAAACAAGGTTTCTAAAGGGCATAAGTGCTTAGATATKTAAAAAAATATTCCAATGTTGGGCTCCCTTAAGAGAATAATTTTATTAACAAGAATCCTATTCACAAGAATAACTGCTATTGTATGTATGTATATAAATGTAACTGATCTTTACAGGACTCTGGTGCACCTGTGTTAACTGATGATGTATCTCTGCAAGTTTTCATGGACCACCTTAAAAAACTGGCCGTATCGTCTACAGCGTAAGATTTGTATGAAGTTATCATCTAGTAAACGTTTCTTTTAAGACATAGTAGAGTTGCGGAGAAAAAGGTGTGTAAATTTTAGAAGTTCAACTTATCCCCATGTTAAAATGTAAGACCAAATTCGCTAGATGAAATTGCAATGTAAAACATTCGTGTTTTATTGTAAATGAATTATTATTGAACTACTGTTACTTTTAGAAGTCGTTTGTAATAATTCAGCTCTATGTAATTGTAAACTAGTCTATGTTCGCCGATTTTTTATTTTGTTGCTATATTATTTTCACAAATATAAGATTTATATGTATAAACCAAAAAGATTTTTAATGGCGTATACTAAGTATTATAATTATCTACAATTTATCTACCTATTGAATATGAGTAACTTGAAAGAGTGTTAGTCACTGCTTAATTAATTCTAGGAGAAGCTGCCGCGCCCTTGGCAATTGCACAAAAATTAATTGTATATAAAAATATAAAATTTGGTAACTTATTTTAATCATGGTGCTCACATCTTAATTGAGAAATCGAATGCTCATTTTCTGTTCCACATCAGTCCTATTAAGCGCTTTGCAAAATTCTTCAAAAGATATCATTTGATCACCATCTTCATCCGCTTCCAATATCGTGCGCTCTGCAATACTTGTCAGCTGTTCTTCACTTATATTGGTACCGACCATCATGTGAAGAATAGCCAATAGTTCATCTTTTGATATCAAATCATCATTATCCAAATCATAGAGTTTGAAGGCGACTGAAAATATCAAAGATAGATCGGGCATGTATTTAATACTAAGTTTGTACAGTAAAACTGGTAAGTAATATCTCCCACCACAGCAGAAAGTATTATCCTTCTCGTGAAAGATACCCAAACAAACGCTGCTAGAATTGCTAAGCCTGCTAAGCCTTGCTGCCCTGCTATTGCTGCATACAGGCTAAGTTTTTTATAAAGTGACATACTAATAGACGGTTATACTTTGTTTGGAAAAGAAAAACTACTGGGTATTCTGAAATATTTATACATTAATCGAATACAAAGTTAAAAGAATGACGCTGATTTTGAATCCTCCGATATACAAGGTGTTTGGTAAGTAGATACATTTTTAAATTAGTATTACGCAAATGGTTTAGAAGTTTTTAATGAATTTGTTTCCGGTTTTTACAGCTGTAAGATAATAAATTTGCAGTGGCAACTCTTTTTTCATGTATCTATTAACGTTTATTTGTTAATAAAAAGCTGTATCAGATAAAAGCTTAATTGCAGCGTGTGGAACGACAAACAGTACAATTAATCGAATAATTTTAATTCGGAAATTGGCTTTACTATTTTTCTCTCAGGGCAAAAATGTTATTTTAAAGTAATTGTTGAAACGTTCTTTTACAGGAAAGAAGTGAAAACTAGGACTTATCAAAAGTGTTTTGTTTTCAAAGATAATAATCCAAACTGCTATCTGCATTGAATGCAAAATTTTCAACAGAATGCACCCAAATCTTGTCCTGTCTTGATAATGCATTTATTCGAACGTATTTTAAGCAATTTAATTACTACACTATACTTACATTTCAATTTCTCATCTCTGGAATTCAATTTATTCTCTTTGTTCTTCTTCACAGGCCTGAAGTGGGCCAACACTTGCATGAACTGTCGAAAATTCACCCTGTCTGTAAATTCGTCCCCTTGGAAAAAGGCATTTACTATCCTTTCGCCTAGGGGATTGATGGCCAGCTCTGGAATCCTTAGAAAATCGTCTCTGGATAGCGTTCCACAATCATTTCTATCCAATGCAGTGAATCTTGAATAGAGTCTTTCTATTTGATTAGGAGTGACTAGAATTCAATCACCGCTGTAAGTTAGGTTTAACTGCGTATTTTACTTATAGAAATGAGGTGTAATCTTATACCGGGGCTTTTTTTAAAGAGTTTTCAGTCTGCATTGTTGATTACAGTTTGTTACATCCATACTCACATCCAGTTTCTTGTTGAATTTGCGCAATTTCTTCTTCACGCAACAATAAAGACGCTCTATTTCCCATTTTCACAAAAATGTACTTGATTCTCACCTGTAATTATAGCAAAATATTAATTAACAACCTTTATGAACCTTGTATTGCTGTATTATGAACTTCGAGTTTCGATCAGCTGTGCTGATGTCATGTGGCATGTGGGTCACTCAGCGTTGCCCGTGTTGCTAGTTCACTCCAAATGTAGTAGTTCCACTTAGAAACGTACCGAAAAAAAAGTAATAAAATGCTGCTCCTTCAATATTTTACACTAAAACAGTAATCGAGATGGTCATATTTTAAGAAAACAAACAAAACATTTTTTTATCAGAAATCGAGTTATTTCAAATTTTGTTATATGTGAATTCAAAATCGACCCACTTTTTCATGAGTTTTATTACTTTACTCTGCGAGTTTTTGAAGAAATTTTCAATTTAACATGGTTCAAAAGTGGGTCTAACGAAGCTACCGGCCATGTGAGCTGTTAGCTAATCTTGCTCAGAAAAATCAATTAATTCAATTCAGTTCAATTGGAACATGCAATCAAAATTAACATTTACTTCTGATTGAAACTAGCAGGATCCAACCGTCGTTTCCTCAAAATTTGTTAATAATAGAGCTTTTTGAAATTCAAATTGATTTGGCGATACACATGTATTGGAAATTCGAATTTACTCGAAAATTGTTCAGTTTCATTCACTGGAAACATCTTCAATACTGCCCCACAGTTACCTGCTAAAAAGATTCGATCTTTCAAAGATTTTGAATCCTCCGAAACCCCATTACAATTTTTTTCTAGATAATTATCTCCAGGTTTAATACGAGCGAGAGACTTTTAACATGCATACCAAGATTCATCCACTTACCTTCTGTTGTTAGTAGATTGAAAAATACTCTTTAAGAAATTGCTCCTCTAAGAGCCGTTATCTCCACTAGGCGACACTTTTCGTCTTTTGTGACTCTACATTTTCGTAGAGTTTTTTGCAATTGATCTACTCTGTATACATATTTCCTAAATTGCTTGATTAATGAGATCCCCTGGGTGTTAATTTTTTGAAATATTACGTCGAGTTTAGGTTTATTGCAAATGAACTCCATCTACGGGAAATGTAGAAATGTAAGAGCATAAAAAATCTTTACTTTCTTTCGAAGCTCCCAAACGGTGTATTAACTAAAATAGAAAATTAATCAAACTTATTTTAACAAGTTCATATTCCTGTTCGCATAAACTTTGTCTTTTAAAAACCGCACAAAATAATCTAACAGCATCCATGTTGATTAGCGAAAACGACAAAAAAATATTAATCTTCAACAGTCTGTATCTGGAAACCATGCAATTCAGGAAATATTTAAATACGCAATTTTTTCAGGAGATCAGAAAACATGACTCATTGAAGGATGTTTCCGCAAAACCTGGTCCGCCCTGTATATTGCCTCCAATAATTATTACAAACACCATCTTTTCACGGGGTTTCAATGGAAATAATTTAAGATTCTTTAAATACCATAGATTTCAAAAAAGCTAACATTTTCTCCCTTTGAATGATTGCGTTAAAAAAATATTTTTCAATTATTGGCAGATAAATTTAGCAAATTAGTCAATGTCATTAAAATGCTACAAGGAACAAATTAGGGGGCAATTTAAATTCAATACAATGCACCAAGCCAAACAAGTAAAATAACCGTGGGCAATGGGTTGTAAGGGCAAAGACAAAACATCTACAGACGCTTACCGCAGCTCGTGTCATTCAAAAGTAAGTACGAGGAACAACATTTAAAAAAACATTTCACTGATTACTTTTTCTTCAGGCGAGAAACCAAGAAAAGCAGTCACTCACTGAGTGTCAATGTGCTCAGGTCTTCGACAATTCCTTCCCATTCAAAGACTTACCACCACCTGCACCCCCAGATGGGCGGAGCGATCTATGGGACTTGCAGTTTTGTCGCTGGTGGGGTTGGAATTGGGTGAGAAAACGAGAGGCAATAGTAGGAGCTGAAGCTAAATCTGGCCCTCCTAAGCGACCGTGTTTATCAGCTAAATACAGGTGGACCAAACGAGATTTGATCGTTCAAAAATCAAAGAAATTTAATGAACAAATCTTTTTCTTATCAGGGAAACTATCAAAGAGGACGGCAGAACATCTGTATGCCCCACTTCCAAGAAAACTTGCTTCCTAAGCAAAGATCCGGAAACAAGATTTTGCAACCCATCACCACTCACCCCAAAGGAGCAGTTTAAGGCAATGTGCAAGTGTTTGTTGGGCAAAAAGAAAACACCCAGCGAAATTGGAAAGTTATATAATACGCCTTCTGCAAGCATGATGGCCTTCCAGAAGCAGGAAAGGTAAGCTGGCATTTGCCGCCCTTTCCAGCATCTCCTACTCTGGAAAAAATTGGTTTCTCATTCCTCACGATATATTGAAGGCTCAGCTATGGAGTTGGGGACCGATCGATTCAACAGCCTTGCAAAAATCCAGAAAAGTGCGATAGGAGGTCGAAAAAAGAAAAAACCAAGGAATTTCCCAGAGTAAGTTGGTATATCCAGAACAAGCGGGGATTTTTACCGGGTTTTACTTTGGACAAATTCGCATTTTAGTATCGGTTTTATTGCATGTATTAGATATAAAAAATAATAAACTATTTAATAAACCTCAAGGTAACATCTTTGAACAAGCCACTCGAAGAATCAACAACACCTTGTTCCGAGCAATCATCAACCGATAGCGTCGTGTGCGAATCGCTTTATAGTCATAAGAAAGAATCCAGCACCGAAGAAAGCGTTGAGTATTTAACCGTGAGACTTCAGCATATCACCAGCAATACGTGCCCATGCCAAAAGCAAAATAATTTTAATGTACAGGTAAGCCATTACAACCCGTTGCTTCATCAGTCTATTTTCAGGCAAATGATTTTCCGTAGGAGCAACCAGTGAAAGATGAGCCGCAAATAACTCCAGCTACATGCACGGACACCAAAGAAACCCAAACTCACTTAGTGCAACAGTCTGAGCAACAAACATCCGCGTCTATTGAACCAAGTACATGCCCTGAAAAGCTCATTAAACTGAAAGGAAAAAAGCACAAAACTATATGCATAATGGTATGTTGCTGTGGAACTTGCAAGCAAAACGGAGGCGAACATATTCAAAAATCTGCGGATGACACTATGAGCAAACCTGCGGAGTGTGTTTGCCCTCAATGTCCGAAACTTTGCTGGAAGGATCGGTCAGATGCTATCCAAAAACCCCCAGTAGAAAAAAATATATTGGAAGAATTTGCAACTTTTCCAATTTCAGTGCCATTAAACACGAAAAAGCTATCGAAGTTTGGAACCCCATCGAAAAATTATGCTTGGATGCAAACTACTAATTCCAATATCACCACTACATCCCTCGATAACATAGGAAAATACACCAGCTCTTATAAGAACGTGTATGATTGGTTGGATCTGGACCTGGATCAGCACAGTTATTCTCAGCCATTAAATGTGCCTAATTTCATGGATATTGCTGAAGATTTAGCGTATGTAAAGAAAACAGACCCATCCCGCAAGTCTGCTGCAGAAGATCGAATACTCCTGGATGCAGTATGTGATGCAATTCTTCAAGAGCACGAAGACACAGCCAATCACTTACTGGACGAATTGCAATTTAATGCAAACAGCCAGCTGAGTACGGATTATAACAGTGCCAATCATTCAAAAGCGGATGCATATACGGAGCTTAGCCAAGCTTTGATAAATACAGAAGACATTGGAATACAATTGTCCAAAGCATCGGGAGTACATAATATAATTGATCGACCTTTACCGAACATCGACACTGAAGATGTAGGCGTGCAGTGGTTTAGAAAGCCCGATTTACAGAGCATTTTAGAGCAGCCTGATACTAAAGCACTTGATCGTATGATGAGCAGCATTATGGACAATATATTTTCTGACTCCACTCACAGTCTCAAAAAGCCATGCATGTATAAAACTACTGAAGACCTGGAAAATCGCGAAAAACCAACGAGTTACCCAGATAAGCCGAAAAACCATTTTCAATTCATTGGAAAAGAATGCAGTTTTACCAAAACAGGTCTAATGCCCTTCCGAAGACCTTCAGTAGTACGAAAAAGCATGAAACGAACAGCTGCTCCAGAAAACACCAGCAAGTGCAAGAAGAAGTTCAAACAGGAGAATGAAAAGTGTTCGAATAGTGTCCCAACTGAAGAACCTGGCAATAAAATTGGCCATATTTTTTCAAAAATAGATGACATCGTTTGTAAGAGTAAAGCGAAAACTGCTGAAATTCAAAAAGTCCTGCACAGCGCTAGCTGTAACGGCTTAACCGAAAATATTGAGCCAAACAGTGTGGAGCCACTGATGAACAACTGCAAGCGGAATTATCGGATGTCTTCTGATAACTTTAAAGGAACACTTTATGAGCCGAATGAACTAGCATTTGATTTTAACTCGATCAAACAAAACTACTTGCTTACTACTAATTATCGTGTGAAGAACTGTCAGGGGCAAGCTTTGAGAGTTACAGAGGAGCCGCAGGAATATAGTGGGTCGACTGAGGAACTTCAACAAGGTGCCACTAACAGCTTGAGTTCAAAAACATCAAAATTATCGGTAGCCAGTTTTGTAGTGTGCGATGAAAAATCTAAAGTTGATTTAACCAGTAATGGTACCAGGAAAGTGGGAAAAAAAGCAATCAAGAAGAAGATAGGGAGTAAAGCATCGCTGATACCTGTAAGAAAGTGAACGTTCAGCGATCGTTGATGGTTTCGAAATTTATCGTAGAATGGCAACAAATAAATATGCGTTGGAAAAATAAGCAGTTTTAATATTGTGCAATCTGTATGAAAACATTACGTAGCTTAAAGAGCTTTAGTAAAAATAGATATTATTATATGTGGTTATAGGGAAGTAACGACATTCGTAAACACCACTGGCGGTTCTTCAGTTCAGTTCTTCAGCGGAACAGTGCACATGTTCGGTGAACTTCTTGAACTTGAAATAAAAATATCGGCGGAGAATAACTCCAAATCGAGTCTTTCACTGCACCTTTGTATAGAAAATTTAATTGATGGAATGTTTTGCCAGTACTTTTCGTTTACCCGCAAAAGTCCTGATATTTTCGATGTTTTCAGCTGGTCATTGGTCACACAGTACGCACACGGCCCTTATTTTATCGGGTTTTATGTTTGTTTAGTCAGCAGGTAAAAAAATGAAGCAAATTTCGAACGTTGATAGCAATAGTACGCAATATTCATATTAAAACTAATTGTTAAATTTCCTATTAAATGGCTTTAATTTGTAAGATTTTTGGGCGTCGCGCTCAAACGTTAACTTTTATAATGTAAAATATGTTCAATAGACACATAATACATATCACCTGTTCTCAACACTGTAAAAATAGCGTTAGGAATTTAAATTAATTTAAAAATTTATCCATTCGCTTTCTAGCTCAACACCGATAAAATTTGATACATAAAATATATCTTGTATAGAAGAAAAAACAACTCATTTATTAAATACGTATAATAGGTACCTACTATGTTTACCGTACTATCACAAAAACTAACGTAATGGGAAACAACCGAACGTTTAAATTTTATTGAGCCTCTTGGAGATGAACATGATAAAAACTTATAAAGTAACAAGTAAAAACAGGTAAATTCAAGTCATTAATTAATATGCACTTGCAACCTATCTATAGAGAATTAAAGCAATATAAATGAAAAATTCAACATTTTGCATCACATTCAGCAAAAGCTGCGATGTAATATTTTTCAACTGTACAAGTGACAATAAAATCAGTCAAAAAGAATCGCTGAGATGAGCAGAATCTATATAAATTAAGCGCTATGTACAAACTGCAGCAGATGTAAAGCACTCAGTTTCAATAAGCTGAGCAATAAAGTAATTTGTACTCTGATTTTCCATCCACTACAATGTAGTAATTAGTAACCCATTTAAAATATTGCCTGAATATGAATTAAATTTACTGTATTTTTGTATATTTCAATCAACTCTTGATTGAAATAATTTTTACTTTCCTGTTTACGATTGTAGTGTTACCCAGTAAAAAAATACTAACACGATATATGGTAATTTTTGGTGGTGTGAGCAAAATCTTCAAGTGAGTACTGAGATCTATATTCTAAATTCCTCTTATCTAAAGTAATCCTAAGTGGTCCTGGAGGGCGAATTTAATTAGCTATAAACCCGTTTGTTTTAAAAGAATCATATGCTCAGACATGCAAGCTATTGGTAGCCAATTTAATGTTGAAATTAGAGAAAAACAGTCAACTAGGAGTATAGGAGACTTAAGGCCAAATAAGCTCCTAATTTAATCGTCACTCTCTTTGTATCTCTCCCTCTCATAAAACTCCTATCCGAACATGTAATATGCAAATATAAATCCTCTACATAATCATGTATAACAATTAAGATGGAAAAGTCTTCGTTTACATCACATAGGCTGGAAAAATTCAATCAAACACCATTAATAACACAGCCACACAAATCAATTTTTTTTGATCTGGTGTTGAGACATGTCCTATAGTATTTTTTACAAAACTATGAAAGCTAGAAAGTTGAAAATACCGTTAGATAGTGCTGGATGAGCCTGAGATTTAATAAACAATAACTTTTCTCGATAGGAAGCTTGTTTTCGAGACCAAAAATAGAATGTACAGTTTCGTAAAAATCGCAAGGGTTTCTTTCACCCACCAAAATTTTTAACGAAAAAATGTTTAATTTTTTTTGAACTATTTATTGACAGGTTAGCTATGGAAAAGTTATATAAAAAACCGGCTTTGGACGGTTCGAACAAAATTCCTAGGTGAACTACAGGAAGAAGACGAAAAAGTTTGTACAGGCAGTATATTGGCAGCGAATTTGGATTCAGCAGGCCAAAATACTACAGAATATAGGTGTCTCAAAAAATTGGTTTGTGTCGCTGTGTAATCAAGAAAATCTAGAAAGTACTATTACAATGCCCTAATAAAATACCTTATTGTTTATTTGGCCAATACAAAAACAATTACCTATATTCATCGCTAGAGTCGCAATTTGTGCCTTCTATGTTTGGCACGACATGCTTCTATCTGTTAATTTGCTAGATGTAGCCTCTTTTTCAGAATAGGAACGGTTAAATCTGAAAGTGGAACAAAAATTTGTATAAAGAATACATAATGAGTTTTCTTTCTCAGTATTTTGAGACCAATTCATGGTACAGATTTGAAAATGTATACCTACACCTAGATTACTCAAAATTATCGATGAAATTAAATGATAAGTTTCTAACGGTTTGGGTTAAACTGGAAGTAGACAACAACTTGAAAATTTTCAACGGAACAACGTTTAAACGGAACAACAATATGGTTTGTTCGCTCTGTTGGTCGAATTTTAGAACCTTTAATAACAATGTAGAAACTTTGGACAGTTCTTGATGTTATCAATATTTTTCTTTTAATTTCATGTTATCAACCATTTAGAAATTTTTTAGTAAATCAGCACTTATTTAAGTTAGAAGACAGCAATTGAACCACCATGATATCCAGCTAACTGATGCGAATTTTTACTTTCAATACTAAACCGTAGAATAGAATAGTGTTTAGTCGAATGCTTTGTATTTTATTGTACATGTTTTCTAACTATAAAGCTACATACATATTGATTAATGAACACTCTTAATTTCATTTATAAAATTTGAACATTGCTCCAGTTAGCTGATGATTTCAGTAAATTCTGAATCGAATTTCATACTTACAATACTTCAACTTTTTCATACTAATTTAAACGTAATTTGTATCATATCTGAAGAACTACTCAGGTATATTATAAAGGTTGTCCCACAATTTGTTCAAGCGTTCGTAAATACAAACATATGCAGCAGGTTCTATTTAAAATAACCAAGTTTTTTAACCAGAAGTGCTAGGAACTCAAACATATTTTCCTTAAATCGAGCATCTCGACTAACCTAGACGTACAAATCGTCAAATCTGTACCTTTTCTAGTTCCCCAAATATCGATAGAGCAAGTTTATTATGGAATTACTTATGAGGCTCAGCCATATTTAATTATGGTGCTTGAATGAATGAAATACGACTGTAATGTTCGCTTTAAGAGTTTTCTCTACCAGATTCTGTAAGATAAAACGCTATTTTCTTGTAAAAAATTATTATCGGATGAGAAAAATTGCCTTAACGCGTCCGTAATATTTTACTTTTTGTTTAAATTTAATTATAAGCTGCCTGAAAAACACTATGTCGTGTCTGCTTTAAATCCTAAAAGAAGCGAAAAATTTTAATACACGAATCAATATCCGCTCTCGATGGTTTTGTTACGAATATATGTACAGACTCGTTACACTGCGTAATAATTATTAGATGTATCAACGGATTATAATACAGCTAAATATTCGGTCGTTTTCTTACCTTAAATGGCTCTTGACTAATTGCCCACTAGCCAAAGCTGCCATAAGCGAAAGCTCGCCTGCTAATACAGCCCCGCAAACGATTCTTGCTAACTGTTTAGCATTATCTCCCGGATTAGCCATGTGTGGGCCTTTTACGCCCAATAGTTCCAGGCACGAAGATTGAGCAGGCAAAATAGTACCTTTGAAATTATAATTATTTATTTACACATAAAAAAAACTTCTGAACTTACCTCCACCCACAGTGCCAATTTCCAGACTTGGCATTGTACAGGAGATTAATAAATCCTCGCCTTTATCACCAGAAGGCTCCATTATAGTTATGCAATTGCTGCTGGCTACGTTTTGAGCTGCATCCTGTCCAGTTGCAATATATACAGCCGTAACGATATTTGCAGCGTGCGCGTTAAATCCACCTTTAAAGACAAACCATAACAAATAAGTAAGAATATCAGCCTGGTAAGAACTTAACTTACCAATGGAACCTGCCATCGCAGATCCTACCATGTTTTTTGATATATTCAGATCGATCAAAGCATGTGTAGTAGTTTTTAACACCGATTGAACAATATTGGCTGGGACTAAAGCTTCGCAAACTACCGATTTGCCTCTGCCTTCTATCCAGTTGATAGCTGCCGCTTTCTTATCAGTACACACATTACCACTTAAGCTAAGAATTTCCATTTCGTTGAAAATGGTTTGCAGGTACAAAAGGGCTTTTTCGGCTCCTAGATTGTAAGAATTTGTCCAATTAACTTAATGGAAAAACTAACAGATTTCACTCAACAGTTACCTTTTGAAATCATATTCATTCCCATGGCATCGCCAGTTTCTGCCATAAAGCGGATAAATAAATATCGCCCCGCTATGTGTGGTGAGATTTTCGATAATTTAGCAAATCGACTGGTTGAATCAAATTGCTCCTTCACTTTCGCGAAATTTTCAGACTTTTTAATCCAAATAACCACTTCGCTGGCTTTAGTGATACATGGAAAACGAACAACTGGGCCTCGAGTCATCCCATCTGCCACTATGGTTGATTTAACGCCCGTTTTTTCCAAAGCACGACACCCTGAAACAGCAATTGTGAAACTATAAGATCATCTGCCGGTTGTTTTACATACATCTGTAAAAAAGAAAGCAATAAGATTATTTACTGCGAGTTCATTTAAATAAGTTATTTATTTTGTTCTTTCATGCCTATTTTTAATTGCTGTTATTCAATCAAATTATAATAATATTAATAATACATGCGATGAAAAGACGATTAATTTATTTCAAAGGGGCATAGAAAAAGTAAAATGAATTGGACCATTAGTTGCCATTTGGACAACGAAAGCTTCTAAACATACTGAAATATAGTTCTTTCATCATATATGTACACTTATTTTCTGAATTGAATGGCATTGGAAATTAATTGCGCTTTTGCTTTGTTGAAACATTCAATATTAAAGAAACCCATCAGCGCATATGCAGTGTTTCTACTTAAATTTGGTTTATTAATCATGATAATGGCAATTAATAAGAGCAAATACTTTTTGCTAGTGGTTTATGAGATCACAGATGGAATTTTCAAATTATCACCTTTAAGAACGGAATTCTTGCTTTCTGCTGCGAATTTCATGCTTAATTTTAAACTTAATATAATTTATTAATATTTAGGCAGTCCCACATTTTTTGATGAACATGGCATACATTTTTTTAATTTAGTAAGTATACACTTTTATTTTTACAGACACATTTTTATAGCTTTCATATAAAAAGTGTTTTCTATATAAAAAACAATATGATGTTACATTAATCATTATTATAGTAGATAATATATTTTGGTCCTTCGAGGGGACTTTTTAATTAAAATGTGAATTACACATTTCACTTGTTATTAAATCTTAAATAACTTTTATACATTTTTGCTCGTTCTTACAAACTCATTTTTTTAAATTATTAACAGAAACACAATGAAAAATCGAAATTATAGTTTTGAAGGTTCATACCTCTGAGTACCGCTGTTGCTTTCGGAAAACTCTGGCAACGCCGGCTCCAGTTAAATAGTTCTTGTGCAGAAGAAGAAAATAACACATATCACCGAGTTGAAGTTTAAAGAATAACAGGCTGTTTGCTAATTTGCTTCATTTTGTAAAATTTGTTATTTAGAAATAAGCAAGCGAATATAAAGCAATGACAACATCTGAACAGATCGGTCTAAACAAGACATGGGAGCTTTCCCTGTACGAGCTTCATAGGACCCCCCAAGAAGTGATTACGGATAATACCGAAATTGCAGTGTCTCCAAGGAGCTTGCATAGTGAACTTATGTGCCCCATTTGCCTTGATATGCTTAAAAAGACAATGACTACTAAGGAATGCCTACACAGGTTTTGTTCCGARTGCATTATAACTGCATTGAGATCAGGAAACAAGGAATGTCCAACATGCAGAAAGAAACTGGTTTCGAAAAGATCTTTAAGAGCAGATCCTAACTTTGATTTGCTTATCGCAAAGATCTATCCAAGTAGAGATGAATACGAAGCACATCAAGAAAAAGTGATGGCCAAATTAAATGAGTTTCACTCAAGAGAAGCTTTTGTACAATCAATTAACGAAGGAATTAAGCTTCAATCGCAAAATAGGGCTCCACGCGGACGGAAGCCTAACGAAACCGTTACCAGTGAGCCACAAGTAGAGACTGGAACTGCAGCTGGAACTACTGAAAATGTGAACAACAATCAAACGCCTAGCGTCCCAGTGGCAAATGCAAACCCACCCAATACAACAGCTAGCACAGGCCAAAATGCCACACCAAACAGCCCAGCCCCATCTGGCCGAAGTACTCCTTGCGACCCTCCTAGTCCAGTTTCATCAAGTGTGAGTTCGCTCAAAAG